ACTAAATGTTAACTGTATTTTAGAACTTTTTTTAGTAATATCAACACAAGAACAGCTTATGTGCAAAATTTTTCACAATCACCATCATCCCAAGTATGAGTGTTGTCAAAGCTATGGGATCAAAATAGAACTGTGTTCAGTTTTGTCATGTAGCAGATATAAGAGGTACTCTGCCCACACCAGCAGTCTCCTACTGTAACTGCCAGACAGCTTCCACTGGCCACAGGAGATGCTGAACCTAGACAAAAGATTTTCTAAATATCTTAAGGATTTAATCCATAGCACCCTGTCACTTCACCCTAAGTAAAGACGACTATTTCAGAAACAAGGGTTTTAAGGTATGTTGTGAACTCTGATCAGATTAACAAGAAATTGTTACCAGAGTTGTACTAGCCTGGACTAAAAGAAAGAGAGACATTCCAAAGTGAAAAGAGGCTTCTGGGCACCAAACTTTCAATTGGCAGGAAGCAGGCTGAAAATGCTACACAGCTGTTAACAAAGGTCATTTCTTATGGTGGAAAAAAGGACTCAAAAGCAGAAGAAAATAATAGATTAGGGAATCACTTCCAGGTAGCAGAACTGGGCCTTAATCAAGGAATACTTACTGCCCCCAAAGTAGGGGATCCTGACAACATGTTCCTGGCTGGATTTCAGAATTGCTACAGATCAGAGACTACTACATGCCTCCCACTCCTCCCCTATTTGAATGAGAGGATCTACTGAGGTTATCCTGTACCTGTCTCACCATTTTATGCTGAGTGTATCTTTTCAGTTCATCAGTCTGTATCAAAAAGGATTGCACCAAAGGAGTCTCGTGTGTAAGAACCTAATGCAGACTGTGAGATCATGGATTTCAAGTTTGATGCCTCAAAGAGGTAAGGCTTTTAGGGATTCTGGAAAAGGATGAATGTATTTTGCATGGAGAGGACTGTAAAATAATTACGGTAAGCGGGCAGAGTGTGGTGGATTAAAAATAGTCACAAATTTTCCACAACCCCTTTCCATCAAGAACACCAAAACCAGTTGCCACGGAGTCAATTCCAATTCATGTCAATCCCATGAGTGTCAGAGTAGAACTGTGCTCCATAGGTTTTCAATGGTAGATATTTTTTTCCGAATGTAAATCACTAGGCCTTTCTTCTGAGATGCCTCTAGGACAACCTGAATCTCCAACCTTTCTGTTAACTGTTTACATCACCTAGGAACTCCTCCTATCAAGAAGTGGAGTCTAATCCTCTCCACCGCTTTTTTAATCTGAACTGGCCTTGTGGCTTGTTTTGACTAAAAGTGGAAGTGGAAGTGACATATAACTCAAGAAGCCTTGTAGCTTTGACTCTTGACGTCTTGGAACACTGCTGCCACTATGTAAAAAGCCCAGGCTATTCCTAGTGGCTACCAACCATCGTTGGTTTGTTGCACTGTGGTGGCTTGTATGTTGCTGTGATGCTGGAAGTTATTTCAAATACCAGCCGGGTCACCCATGGTGGACAGGTTTCAGCGGAGCTTCCAGACTAAGACATACTAGGAAGAAAGGTCTGATGATCTACTTCTGAAATTTTGCCAATGAAAACCTTATGGATCACAACAGAAAACTGTCTAACTTGCGTGCTTTGGACACATCATCAGGAGGGATCATTTGTTAGAGGAGGACATCGTGTTTGGTGAAGCAGAGGACCAACAAGGGAATGGGAGACCATTGGTGAGATGGATTAGCACAACAGACACAACAATGGACTCAAACATGCTAGCAATCATATTAAATAATTAGAATATTAATACGCACGAGCATATCAGAAGGCATGAAAATTTTCTTACTAATTAATTTCTCCCTCCTATGAACAAACTGCATTCATTCTGGCACTTAATCACACTCTCTCACACTGACTTGAAAGAGCCTATATTATTGACCTCTGCTGGTTACTGAACTGTTCTTTTATTTGACTTTCCAAGCATGTTTGTTTCCATGTTAGACCAATATCATTAAGGTTAGAGATATTTCTTCAATATCTATTCAATGAATGAACAAATGAACAATGGAACAGAAGAACAAGGGACATACAACAATAGTTCAATAAATTACATGTTAACTATGTGGAAAACATTTTTCCTCTCTACCTTTAAAAACACATTATAGCCAACCAAGACTGCGTTCTCAGAAACATCCATATAATTAATAATTTATTTTTCTTTTGGATTTCCAGTCACTCCAAGTTTGTTGATGCACAATTAAACTAGTCGAATTCCACGAAACCATTCACTGAGCTTAGCACAGGCCCTGGAATAAAGCACATGCTCAAAAAATGAATGAATTGAACCCAGCAAATAATTTTACAACAGCCAACAAAATTAAGCCATGCTGCTATTGCTGGGTACCATCAAGTCGAGTCTGACTCATAGCAACCCTACAGGACAGAGCAGAACTGCCCCACAGGGTTTCCTAGGCTGTAATCTTTACAGAAGCAAATCGCCAGGTGTTTTCTCTCATTCTAGGTTCGAACCACAGACCTTTTAATTAGCAGCCCAGCACTTAACCACTGCGCCACCAGAGCTCCTAAATAAGCTGTAGTGGATATAGTAGCTATGGAGACGATACTCAGAAATTATTTTCATGACATGGCTCAAATGAAGATGCTTGCAATAGTGTTCCCAACATAAAAATGAAGTGAAAGATGTGTTAATAACAGGAACAAAAGAAAAAGCAATGGAAACCAAAAAGAGTTTAATGAAGAAGAAATTAGGATGGTTACCAAATGTGAAATATCATATATTTTGAAAATAAGGATTTTATTTTCAAATACTCAAATATTTAAATACTGAAAAAACAGATTTGGAAAGAAAAATGACTATACCGTAACACAAAAATGAGTCTAAGAGCTTTTTAGATTTAAGCAGAGAGGATCAGAAATGTTAGTTTAAATGTCACAGGAACATAGAAGGAAGCCGGAAGTAGAAAAAGAAATACATATGTATAGTATACGTTTAAAGCTTTACTTTGAGAGGAGAAAGGGCAACGGGACACAAATGGGAAGATAAAGAGTCCAATACACTGACAGTGCTGTGACAGCCACCAAAAAATAGAGAAAGCCCGTAAAGTGGAATACTTGAACAACCAAGTCTTCTTTACACCTAAAGTATCCATCCCTTGAAGAATTTTTTGAACCTGAAAAATCATTGTCCTCTGAGTACATCTATTTACGAAGAACAGAAAAGTTTATAATTTTATGCTACATGGAACGAGTACTTAAAACTAGTTTTGGGTTTAGAATTACTAGAGCAATCTTATGAATGTCAGAAGAGGAAAGTGTCATGGCAACATGAGATGTCACAAAAGAGCAGTCTGGAATAAGAAGACAATGTCATGCCCTAACAAGAGAATCGGCTACATGAAAGGAGCCATGAAACAGAATGACCAAATAGAACACAGACGGCCAAACTGTCAGGTGCTGAATAAACAGCATCACTGAATTATCTGAACTAGAAAAACCTAGCAAGTTCTTAATTTTATACCTTCAAAATATTTTAAAATAACACCATTTGGCAATTTATGAAATGTCTCTCTTAATGTCTATAGCAATAATCAGGTTTTCCACAACACAGAAGTGTGTACAATAAATACTAACTGAAACAGAACTTGTGAGGGAAAAATATTCTCCTTAAAGTGCACCGATATCATCTCTAAAAACCTGAAAGTTCCAGGCCAATTGTACAGAATTTTTTAAGTGACATTAGAGGCAATGAAATGGTGACTGAGTCTATTCTACACTTCTTCTAAATCGTCAATAATAACCAGAATCATTTCATTAAAACAACGTCCATGAAGTTACCAGGCTAATAATCAAAACAGGATATTCTTCCTCTTCCAGGATTCTTAATAAGAGACAAAACCAGCCGTAAAGAGATGTAAACTCAACAAGCCATAAGTAACACTTGTGTGACCACAAATTAAGGTTACTATTTCACTTTACAATTTAAATTACTATTGTTCATATCCAGCGGAGATTAAGAAACAACTAACTTCAACAATTGGAAACAAATCACACGTGTTAATTAAACAGCTACGCTCATTAAGAAACCTGGAGTACCTTTAAAGAGGTGTTTATTTAGAAGCTGCATTAATTCAAGCACAGATAATGAACATTTCAGCCGCTTTCCTTCGCCAGTTTCTGTGCCAGGCTCTTTCGAAACTGCGGTTGATAAGGTAGATTCCGAGAAGGGAAGAAGCTCCTGTGGGAAATGGTATCCTCATACAGCCCAAAGAACCGGTGACGCACTAGAGCTTGGAAAATATCCCGTCGTTTACCTTGCTAGGAGCAGTGAGGTAAGAAGATGTCGTCCACGTGCACTATTGTTTTCCAGGTATGTTTATTTCTTTTTAACTTATGCTTTGAAATCAGTACCCTCAATTTCAGTCTAATGGGGGATGGCAGCGCCACTGGTGGTATCTGGGCGCAACACAAGTTTAAAAAATAAAAACACAACCTTTTTTTTTTTTTTTTTTTTTTTGCAGCGTACTCGGTGCCCTCACCTCTCTCCTCCTCCACTGCCATCACCCCACGCAGCTCTTTGCCGCCCTCGCCTTTGGTCCCCAAGACAACCCCACCCGAGGACAGGCCTCCACCTCCAAGGCTTCCTGTCACCCACCCGACGCGGCCAGCTACACTTGCCAGGCAGGTGACGACTCCACCTGCCCCAGGCTCACTCTCTCCCGGTTGCCAAGGGGCGGGCGAGGCCTGCCAGGACCCCTCCCGGGCGGGGGCACGACCCTCACCAGCCGGGCACGCGAGGAAGGGGCAGCCGGAAACAGAGCTGAGAGTTTCCCCGACCCCTAAGCCAGTGACGGGGGACCCGGGTGCGACCCGCAAACGGGGTGCAGCGACCTCGAGCCCCTCTCTGGACTGCTGAGAGGAGGCGAAGGGCGGGCGCAGTGGCCGCGAAGGAACTTGTCTGTTTTCACAAACAACCACGAGTCGCGGCGGCAGATGCGAGGGAACAACGCTCACCTTGAAGGGGTTGTTGAGATCCGGGTCCGCAAACGGGTTACTGTCGAAATCCGACATGTCTCTGGCGCTCGGCGTCTCCCACCCGACCCAGGCGCAGATAGAGACGAGGCGAGGCCGCCGCCCCCCTTCGCGCTCACGTCGCCGCTGCTGCCGCCGCCGAGCAGATCCGGGTGCAGCTTGCTGGGCCACTCAGTCGGCCGCGCCACTGAGCATGCCCGGTGCGGCGGCCTCAGGGATGGTGCCGCCGCTCCCACTCGCCGTCCCGTTTTTTCCGGCTGGGATCCAGCACTCCGGGGTTTGGCTATGACCGAGTAGTGATCATTGGTGGAGGGAGCCGGGAGGAGAGCGGGGAAGGGATCGGTCCTACACCCCAAAGACCCAACTGAGGTTCGGCGTCTTGAAGAGGTGATACGTTTATCTGGATTCGATTGTATTGACAACGCGTTAAAATCGACCCCTTGGGACCGAGCGTGATTAGGGAGGAGGTAGTACTTTGCGAGAAAGAAGACGCACAGTGACCCCACTTCCCCCAGGTAGGAAGGCAGCTCGGGACGCAGGCTACACACCTGGGGAGGAAGTCGCTGTTTAACTACGCTTTGGGCACGGGGCTGTAAAGGTTCGGGGAACTGGAGAAACATCCGCACCTATCTCCAATGGTAAAGTCCTTTGGGGCCCTGCCCGCGCTAACAAATTGTGCACGTCCCTGGCCCCACCTAGGAATCCCAGCCTTCCGTCTTCCGGTCCTTCAGTCTCTAGGTTGCTGCTAAATCACGGAGCCCAGCCTCGGCGCTGCCGAACCTAATTTGTTCTGGAGAGGAATGGTCCAGCCCCTGCTCCCATCCTCCTGAATCTGTAAAATGGCTATTTCTCCGGAAATGATACGAGGTGGGTGTGAGGGTGGCACAGGTCCGGAGATCAAGACCCTCAAGTTGATGTTAGTGGATGACAAAAAGAAGATTCCCGTTTTTGTTTACGTTCAGGCATTTGGGTGAAAAATACACATCTCTCTTTTTTTCTTCTCTCTACCCAACAGTGGGATGAGGTTACTAAAAAACATGTATGTGTAAGGAATGCGTTTGTACCGTTCGTTGCCCCACTCCTGAAGTTACTGAGAAAGAATCTTTTCCTTCCTTCTGCCCTAACAGAAAAGCACTTAGCAGGACAAGCTACGAAGAGCCAGAATCGTTTTGATTTGGTGGTGCCTAAGAATTGAAAGATCTAGATTTAATCTTCCTTGGCCTTTTTGAGGCTTTCAGTATGCATAGTCACCTGGGAAATATTTCTTCCTCACTGTGAAAATACTTGCCAGAGATGATGGAGGAAGAGCACATTTGCTGCAGTCTGTTTGGTGGGACCCAAGTTGGGATATGTGACAAAGCAGCCTCTTCCATGCAGCCGAGACTAAGAGTGTGAACTATTAACAGCGGACAAGGGTGATTATGGCAGAGCTGTTAAGGGCCTAGATATGAAACAGAGCAAACATAATCTATTGTGCCCACCATGGTATTCTCAGCAGCTGCCTGGTGCCTGGCTCATGATTATTGTTCACTACATCTATAGGGTTTAAATCCCAATTCTGATACTACTGTGCACACTTGTATTACTGCACTCTGTAGAGGGTTACAGATAGAATAAGATACAGAAAAGTATTCTGCATATAGTTATTTAAAACCCAAACCAAACTTGTTCCCGTCAAGTCAATTCCTACTCGTACGACCCTATAGGACAGAGTAGAACTGCCCCATGGGGTTTCCAAGGCTGTAATCTTTACGAAAGCAGACTGCCAAGTCTTTTTCCTGCAGAATGGTGGTTGGAACTGCCAACCTTTCTGGTAGCAGCCTACCGCTTAACCACAGCGCCACCAAGGCTCCTGCATTTGTTAGCGCCTAACAAATATTGTTTGAATATCTGAATAGGGCAAGGGGCCCAGCCCGTTGTTCTTATCTCATTGTTCTTTGCTTTCTCTCTCCAGAGCTTAACCTTGTCCAGCTGATCTGCATCTCTAACCACTTTGGCCTTCACCACCTCCACCTGTTTTCCAAATAACTCCGTCAGCAGCTATTTTGCAATGGTTAAGCGTTTGGCTACTAACCAAAAGGTTGGCAGTTCAAGTCCACCATCCACTCGTTGGAAACCCTCTGGGGCAGTTCTGCTCTCCTATAGGGGTGCTATGAGTTGGAATCTACTCGATGGCGATGGGTACTATATTCCAACACAGTGAGGATCAGCTGAGCCTGTGGAATCACATGGCCTTGTGGAAATCCTTCTAAATCAACAAATAAACGTCTAATTCATTCTTTTTACCAACTGCAGAATGGGCATGTTAAAGGGCCCCAGGTCATTCTGATGGTGGTGGTGGTGTGCTGGCTACACTTGAAGAACACTGATATAAGGATCTTCAGCCCTGTGGTTCATGGGTGAGCTTATTAATTCATCAGCTTTAGTGAAATTTAGAATAATGGGGTGTGAGAACTGAAAGGAACTTAAGCCTTTTTTTTTTTTTATGGAAGAAGAAACTGAGTTTGATCAGGTAAGTGCCTCAGTCACAAAGAAAGTGAATGGAGGAAGTAGAAGCAGAACTCAGGTCTCTTAACTGGAATTTCAGATATTAAATTGATAGGTTTCATAACAATAATAGTTTTCACATGTTATTGGGTGCCACTGAGTCGCTTTTGACTCACACCAAGCCCTTGTGACAGAGTAGAACTACAGGGTTTTCTGGGCTGTAATCTTTATGGAAGCAGATTGCCAGCTCCTTCTCCTCCGGAGCAGCTGGGTGGCTTTGAACCGCCAACCTTTTGGTTAGCAGTTGAGTGCTTAACCTTTGCATCGCCTGGGTTTCTTAGGTTTCATATAGGAGGAAGAAATGCTATGTACAAGGTAGATTGTGTTGCTTTAAACTGCTAAATTTGTAGTAATTTATTCAAGCCACAAAAGAAAATTAATACATACCACTGGAGAGCAGAAAGTAGAGAAGAAGAGAAGGGATATGTCACTCAGCTCCCTAGTGTCTAAGGAGATTTCCAAGCAGCAGATCCTTCAGCTCAAGGAATAAATGAAAATAGTGTTGAGGAAGAGAAAATGAATGTCATTCAATTTACCCTGAGTGAAGATTCTGTCATGCCCAACTTTTAATTAGCTATGTAAATAGCACTGAGGCAGTTTAAAAAGAGAGCGGAAGAAACAAAAACACAAACCATCTATATTTGGCTTTGGGATTAATGTTTATTATTATTAAAGGGAAGCAGATGTTCTACTCTTGTCTTTCCTTCACTCTGAAAAGCCAGTCAATAGTCAGTAATGCCATGTGTTTCTTCTCTTAGATCTGACTCCTCCTGTCTATCTCTACTCCGCTCTTCCAGGAATCCTTCTCTGCTCACCTTCCCCTTTCACCACCAAGTCTCACAACACCATCAGAGTAATTATTACTCTTTCCTATAATAGGTATTTTAATTATATTATCTCCTCCATTTGACTATAAGCACCTTGAACACAGGATTGTATTTAAACACTGTGACTCCAGCATCTGACACAGTGCTGGCAAATGTGAATGAATGAATGCCATAACTTCAGTCTGGGTCCCATCATCTTTGCTTCCATTACTGAGATACCTCTTGAATGGCTCTCTTATTGTTGCAAATATTATCTTCTTAAAAAATAATTTTTATTAAGTACTCACTTGCCTAAAAACCTTTAGAAGTTCTTTGTCGCCTACAGGAGAAATTCTAAATTAATTACCTTATTATTTAAGGTTCTTCATAACTTGACCTCAACCTATACTTCTAGCCTTACCCTCCCCTGTCCTCTCCCTACATGAATTTTATTTTATTTATTTATACATCTGCTTCCCCTTCTCCAATTTTTTCAAACTTCAGGTCTTGAAGTACAACCCATTAGTGGGTCTTGAAATCATTTTAGTGGATCATGACCGGTACATTTTAAAAAGAGAACAGGAGATATTGAAGGATGTGGTGACACACAGTAAATTAAGTGTTCATGGAACTTCTGTTTCTGTGGTGTGTGTATGTGTCACACTGAAAACTTTTTCTTACTATGGAGAACAAAATTGAGAATTCAAAAGGATAAATTTATTTTGTTTTATTATTATGACTACTATTATTTTTTGCCAGTACTTTTCACAATAGCTTGCGAAACAATTATAAGTATGTGTTGAATGAACAGGACTGAACTGAGGGTGTACTGGAGCTTAAAGATCGTAGAGCTACACTGACCACTGACAAGTAGTGTAGCTTTCCTCAGTGGTCAAGGCAGTGACTCAGACTCCACAGGACTACCTCAGTTCTCCCACGATATCACAGCGTGCACACTTGGGCAGACAGAGAGGCACTTTCTCTGCCTCCCTATCAATCCACAAACTTCTATGGAACATATCTAGTGTCTTTGACACTAGAGGGAACCTGAAATATTAAAGGTTCAGTCCCAGGGCCAGGACTAGAATGAGGTTAGAGAAATGTCATACAACTTAGGAGGTATTCTCTCTCAGGGTCATGTAAGTGCAGACACTGCATTTAGACCCTCCCCACTTCTAACCAAGTTGGTGAGATGAGATAACCACAGTGAAGCACAAGCTTGAAGGAAGGCCCACCTGGGCTCTGATTCCTGCTGTGCTGCTTTCTGGGTCATATGACTTCAGGCAAGTCACTCATCTTCCCTCAGGTTCCACTTCTTACCTCCTCCACTACCACTGTGGTCCAGACTAACAACATCTCTCACCTGGATCACTGCAACAGCCTCTTAACTGTTCCCCCTGCCTCCACCTTTGTCCCCCTGCAATTTATTGTCAAAACAGTGCCAATTTGGTTCTTTTAAAATGTAAGTCAGATCATATCGCTCATTCACTCAAAGCTTTCCAATAGCTTCCCAGTTCTATGAGAGTAAAAGCCAACATCCTTGCAATGGACCTGCAAGGTCCTACCTGATCTGGCCCCCCATTACCTCTCTAACTTCATTTCTTGCTGCTTTCCCCTCGTTATTCTGCCCCAACCACCCTGACATCCTCCCCACTCTTTGATATCTACACTAAGCATGCTCCTACCTCACAGCCTTTGCACTTACTGTTCCCTCTACCTGGCATGTCCTTCCCCTGTATAACTGCATGGCCGCCTCATTCACCTCCTTCAAGTCTTTGCTCAAATACTGTCTTATCACTAAGGTCTTCGTTGACCACCCTTTAAAAATTTTAATGCTCCAGTCTCTGGCACTTCTTTCCCCCTCCACTTTATTTTTCCCTAGAGTACTTTTTACCATCTGACATACTTTCTGACATTAGAATGTACTTCTCTGCTGGAGGTCCTAGCCAGAGCAATTAGGCTAGAAAAAGAAATAAAGGGCATCAAATTGGTAGGAAGAAGTAAAAGTATCTCTATTTGCAGATGATATGATCTTGTACACAGAAAACCCCAAAGAATCTGCAAGAAAACTACTGGAACTAATAGTAGATTTCAGCAAAGTTTCAGGATACAAGATAGACATACAAAAATCAGTTGGACTCCTTTACACTGACAGAG